GATTCCACGATTGTTGTTGCAGTCGCTTCTGTCTCCCTTGTTTTTAGTAGAGAGTTATAATATTGGCATCTCTCATATCCTGAGGCACAAATTGTTGTTGCCAACATTGACTGAGGATCTTGTACAGCTCAGACTAGCATCCTTTGAGCATTTCAGCATCTCAGGCGGGATACCGTCCTCTCCTGGAGCCTTCCAAGAGGGAGGCCCATCAACTGCTTCGTTTATTTCTTTGTTGGAGGGTTCCATGTCTAGTTCATCCATGGTTGGCAGACACTCCATTGCATTTAAAGCTTCTTCACACACATATGTGCTTGTAGTGTACAGCTTTGACTAGTGCTCCGTCCAGCGTGGATTCTGATTTTTTGATTTCTTTGTGTTTGGATAAGGCTTGTGATCCTTCTAGCCTTGTGCGCCCAACAAGGCTAATGGATCATGGCGAGACAACACTTTACTGCCTGGAGGCTGCCCAGCTTAGGCGGGCGGTAGCTGTGCAATGAGACTACAATGGTCTCTCACTGTCGGAAACAACCCCTTTTGCCTTGCTCTACGCCAGTTAAGCACAGGCTTATAGCTGGTGACTGCTGCTTTCCGTGTTGTGTTGAAGCTGTTAAGCCTCTCCAGGACACAGGCCTGGGCATTTTGATTTGGAGTACAGACTTTTGCTCAGGCAGCAGGTACCCCCATCTACTTGGCCAGTGATACCAAGGAAAAGGCAAAAGCCAATACATCTTGATACCAAGGACATTGCAGGAACTGTTAGAATAGCGCTGTAAACGATGTTGAACTGCCTTAGGGATTTCAACTCTGGATTTTTCCTCAGGGTTTACTCCTGAGGTGCTTTCCCAAGGTAGGGTATGGCCACAAGGCAGTGGAGGTTTGAGATCAGAGTTTTCCTTCTCCTAGATGAGCTGCACTCCCGTGCTGGCCAGCCTTATCTGCCCAGCCAGAAGGGGAGGGGGGGGGGGGGCAGGGAGGTCTTTTGAGCTAAATCGCTTTTTTTAAAGTCAAGTTGAGATCAGATTATTCCATAAGACTGATTGATAAAGATCACGATCAGCTTGTCTCTAACCTCAGCTTATCTTATCACCACTGTATCAGCTTGTCCCCTACCTCGTCTTGTCATTATCACCACTGTATCAGCTTGTCTGTAACCTTGACTTATCTTATCACCACTGTTTCAGCTTGTCCCCTACCTCGACTTGTCATTATCACCACTGTATCAGCTTATCCCCTACCTTGACTTATCTTATCACCACTGTATCAGCTTGTCCCCTGCCTTGACTTGTCATTATCACCACTGTATCAGCTTTTCCCCCAACCTTGACTTATCATTATCACCACTGTATCAGCTTGTCCCCCAGCCTTGACTTATCATTATCACCACTGTGTCAACTTGTCCCCTACCTAGACTTATCATTATCACCACTGTGTCAACTTGTCCCCTACCTAGACTTAACATTATCACCACTGTGTCAACTTGTCCCCTACCTAGACTTTTCATTATCACCACTGTGTCAACTTGTCCCCTACCTAGACTTAACATTATCACCACTGTGTCAACTTGTCCCCTACCTAGACTTTTCATTATCACCACTGTGTCAACTTGTCCCCTACCTAGACTTTTCATTATCACCACTGTGTCAACTTGTCCCCTACCTAGACTTTTCATTATCACCACTGTGTCAACTTGTCCCCTACCTAGACTTTTCATTATCACCACTGTGTCAACTTGTCCCCTACCTAGACTTATCATTATCACCACTGTGTCAACTTGTCCCCCAACCTCGACTTATCATTATCACCACTGTGTCAACTTGTCCCCTACCTAGACTTATCATTATCACCACTGTGTCAACTTGTCCCCCAACCTCGACTTATAGTTATCACCACTGTATGAATTGTCTCCAACAGAAAAACAACAACATATCTTTATCACCGCAGCAATAACATGTTCCCAATTGTGCCTATTTTACCACCACTTTATTAACTTATTTCTGAGAAACTACCATTAAGTGTTGTAGTTTGGCACAAGAATATATTATCTGAATTGAATGTTGAATATTTAATTAGGAATTGACATCACAGCACTCGGGACAATTTTTTAACTGCTCCATCACCATCTTCAGTGGAAAGCGCAGAGTTCCAATTCCATGGTACCCCTTAGAGTCTGATTGTATATCCCTCTGGCCTTTCCTTGAGTGTTGACTGTTGACCCTTTGTCACTTTTTCTGAATTATATAGTTTTAAAAGCAAGTAACATATTTTGAATTCCAGTGTTATTTAAGTTTTAACTTGCTGGTGATAGCTGGAGAGCCGCTGAAGACATGAAACGAAAGTTAAGTGAAAACAAAGCCGCTGAAGACATGAAACGAAAGTTAAGTGAAAACAAAGCCGCTGAAGACATAAAATGAAAGTCAAGTGAAAACAAAGCCGCTGAAGACATAAAATAAAAGTTAAGTGAAAACAAACTTGCTGAAGACATAAAATGAAAGTCAAGTGAAAACGAACTCGCTGAAGACATAAAATAAAAGTTAAGTGAAAACAAACTTGCTGAAGACATAAAATGAAAGTCAAGTGAAAACAAACCCGCTGAAGACATAAAACAAAAGTTAAGTGAAAACAAAGCCGCTGAAGACATAAAATGAAAGTCAAGTGAAAGCAAACCCGCTAAAGACATGAGACAAAAGTCTAGTGAAAACAAACCCGCTGAGACATAAAATGAAAGTTAAGTGAAAACAAAGCCGCTGAAGAAATTAAATGAAACCTAAATGCATTGGAAAATAAATGCCTGATAAATTAAGGAACATTAAATGGGATAAATCCAGAAATAAGAGAAATGTCTGACAACTGTTTAAATAATTAAGTAGACAGACAAGAAGTTGGCAATATACTGGGCACAGAAACGGGCAGAGATTCATTAAATAAACACTGAAATTTGAAACAAATGGATTGGGAAAATAAGGAAATTCATCAGAATCCTGAGACGAATGTTGTTGATGAATAAAATAGTGGTGGACTTGATTCAGTCCATGATATACAAAGGATTGCACAAGATAAAACAAAATGGACGACTACTTCTTCTTTTTTCCTCTACTCTTGGAATGTCTCATGGCATTAGAATTGTTTCTATCCCTTTCATTCTAGCTATTTTGTGAGATCTCTTCCTTGTCCACGAGCACTAAGTGAGCCACCAACAGTTTGCTAGACCAGTCACAGGGTTTTTCAAACTTCCTAGAAGGTCATAGAACTAGACTGTCATATTCAGAGCAGTTTAACACAAGTTCCATTCTGGGATGTCCCAAACTGACCCCGGTTAGATGCTGGCCGAAAAATAGACATCCCCTCGCCCCGCCATCTTTCATTTGTTTGAAATAGATTATCTATATCTGCAATGTTATTTCTAGTACGAACTTCAATGTCTGTTGTAATTCAGTGCAGAACCCGTAAAGTTTAGCTTGCACCGGTGTTTCTTTTGGACATACATTTTTCCTCATGTGTTGTATTTGGGACAGAATGGAGGAATACATTGTGAGTCTTGTGTGACATGTAACGGCCTTACAGGTGCTTTGCTGAAAAAAAAAACACACACAGACATCTTCACGTTCAGCCAGCAACCTTGAAAGGGGAGCTTAAGGTTATAATTGTGGCTAGTTTATGTGCGCCATATAAAATGGCTTAGCATTGCGCATGGTCAGGAGCCCTGGAAAGAACTCCTGCAGTGTTTATGTGATCAAAGGAGACAGACCCAGATACTGTTCCCACCAGCAACAAAGTCGTCTGCAGCCAGCCAATGTCCGCCCCATTTGCTGATGTTAACGGCATAACAGGATGATGACGACAAGAGTTAAAGTTAGCTGCGTATCCTATAGAGGACGTTGCAGAACCGACTCTAGCAATTGTTGTTGTTGTGGTTTTTCTAGGCAAATTTTACGTTCAGTAGTTTGCCATTTTCTTCTAAACTGTCAGCTCTTGGCACGACTGTTGGAACCAATGCAAAACAAATCGTCCGCAGCTGGGATCGAACCTAGCACCCCAACATTATGAAGAGCATTCAAAGCGCCTATGCCACGGAGATGACAAGAATAGACAGTATTTTTCCATGCATAGGTTTCCTCTATGTAATTTTAAAGTCTATTTTTTTAAAGTCAAAATTGAGAAATAAATATTTTAAACACGTGTAAGACAACTCCCAATATTTGGCATTTAAAAAAAATTCAGAAAACATGTAATCTTCTTCTCAATGTCCATGCCGTCCTTCTGTCCTGTGTACTTTCAGTCAAATCTGCCACAGATGATCCTCTATGCTGTCAGGTCAGTTTGGCTGGTATTTTCTCTCTGTCTTCTTCTGTCTGTCTAACCACCCGCCTCCCCCAACTCCCCTCTGTCACGATGTATTCCAGTTTTCTCCTTCTCATGATGTGATGAGATAATGTAGGTTGTCTCCTTCTAATGTGGCTAATCAGTTCTCTTCAGGAGGCAGTTTCTTTCAAGACGTCTTCATTACCCTTTCGTATCTGTCCAGAATATTTTCATCATTCGTCTATAAATGTTTTGTGGGAGGTTGTGTTACGAGTCTCTTTGAGTCGCGCCAGCGCCTTTGTACAAGTAAAAAGTACTGCAAGGGGAAGCGCCAAAGGTGTGACTATTTATGATTATAGAAACTGGGATGTTTTTATATTTCTTCATTCCATGAAGGTGGCTAAAAAAACAAAAACAAAAAATAAGAAGAAGCCACTGACAAGGAACGAAGAAATACAAAAACATCCCCGTTTCTATAGTCACGAGCCGTCGGACAAGTAGCATACCATTGAAAATAAGGAACACATAACATTCCTACAACATAGGACAGGGCGTGGGACCGGCCACGACATGAATAGGAGGGGAATGAACTCTTGCAGTGCAGGCAAGTTTATGATAAGTACCCATCTTACAAACGGAACAATACGATAGTTAATAATTAACCAGATCTGGCAGCTGACCAGTGAACTGACACCATGAGCTTACAAGGCTGAAACCTCCATGTCGCACATCCGGTTGCCATTGAGCCGGAACCTGGAGACCGTACTCCTGTAGGTGACCTGGTGGTATTTCTTCTTGAAACCCAGCGTTGCCAGCAGCATCATGCGGAACTTCTTGCCGAAGAAGCAGTAGAGGAGGAAGTTGGAGGCTGCGTTGATTTCTACCATTAGGGTGCAGATAATCCAGAAGCACTAGGAAATGATAAAATTGTAATATTGTAAGGTGTGCGTGCGTGCTTGTATTGGTGGGTGGGTGTTCCCCCCCCCCCCCCACACCCCCAATGTCAAGTCTTCCTGGGATATAACTGAGCTACCGTATAACAGTAGCCAGTACCACATGTCCTCTGTTAAAGCCGAGTGTGGGGGTGGGGGTGCTTATACCATACCTGACATCCCATAATGTGCAAGCGGCTTCCGGCGGAGGAGCGCACTGGGGAGGATGCTAGCCTTATCCCAGGAAGAAGAAATGCAACCTGAAAGCTTTATGTTATGGCGGGGCAGACCAGATCCTTAGCCTTGGCTGGCAGCTGGTCTAACAGAGAAGCACTGTTTTGTGTGTGTGTGTGTGTGTGTGTGGTCCGGCAGCTTCTGCAGCCTGCTTTGTTCCAGACGTTCTGGTGTTACATTTCCTGTGGCTTAAACAAGGCAGGTCGAGAGGGGGATCATGATCCATGGGCAACATATGGTCTCTACAATACTTCCCAGGCTTTGTGCTGTGGAGAGGATGAACTTCATCCCTGTCCGTAATTGATCTCGGAAACAAATCGAGAGGCAGCAGTTACGGGTTATAAGTCAATACTATAATTGTGGAAGACTTTTCTTAACGAGGGCGGGTCTTGCTAGTCACACTCGCCATCGCCATGGGCAGTGAGTCCCATGCCTGATCATAGCACAGTATAACACTATCGTCTGGAAAGACGGGAAGGTGCTAGTCGTCATATGTCTGTCTATTTCTCTTTCTCTCTCTATCTGTGTGTGTGTGTGTGTGAGAGAGAGAGAGAGAGAGAGAGAGAGAACACAGATATTAAGCAGTTGTTTTATATGTGCTCTAAAACCGAAGTACAACTAAAAGAGATGAAGCCTTATTACACATTTTCGAAAACAGTCTTGAGAAGAATCTTTGGACCTATGAAAGATGTAAACAGCGGGGAATGGAGAGTGAGAAGCAACAAGGAAATTCATAATCTGTTTGAATCACTTCTGATTACTGGCATCATGAGGGTTAAAGGTTAAAGTCATAGAAACCCCGTAGGTTATATTTGGGGTCGTCCACGACACCCAGGGTTGGGCTTTAACATAACCGAAAACTGCCTCTCTATTCCCACATCAGAACGGCATGGCGAGCGATAAACACCCGGTGACACCAAGTGCCACAATTCGCAGGAGAATCACCCGGGCGCAAGTCCCAGAAATCCCCGTTCAACCGTTAGGTTATATTTATGGCCCCTGACAAGACCCAGGGTGGAGCTTCAAAACAACACAAATATTGGGTCCTATAGTGGCGCGGATAATGTTAACATTGTGTGTGTCGTTCTACCCCACCAGGACCGCACAACCAGCGACCAATACCCGATGACACAAAGTGTCACCGTTCGGATGAGGATCACCCGGGTATAAGTCCTAGCAACCCCATTCAGCCGTTAGGTTATATTAAGGCCCCCCCCCCCTTTTTTCCACCCCTCCTCCCCTCCAGATTACAGTCAGGGTGGAGCTTTGAAATAACGGAAAATTGCGTCCCATATTGCGACATGAATTACTTAATTGATTGTAGTTGTTTACATTATTTTATCCTTCCTACCATTTCGCCACATTGGGCCATTATTGCAGAGTCTGTTGTACTATAAAACAGAATCAATATGTCTGTCTGTTTATCACAAGAACTCCACATAAACGTTGAACACCAGGAATGTCAAATCTCCACTTGCCATTCTGGCTGCAATTTCTCGGTCAACGGTTTTCATTTTTTAACAAGTTTTCTGCATCCAGAATGTAACTAACCTAATTATTCCCTGGAGTTATTTCCCTTTAGTAACTACACATTTTTGCCACACCCCTCTCTTCCCCCTTGAGAATGCGTTTAGAGGAGAGAAAAAAGTACATGTCACTGTTGTCTTCAGACTTGAAGTCTGGATAGTTACTGTCATTTTTGTTGTTGTTGTAATAGTGGCTAGTGGTGAGAAGGAGAAAACTGAAGTAGATCGTAACGGTAGGAAAGTTGGAGGCGAGAAGAGGCAGAGGGAGACCGAGAGAACAGATGCTGGACAGTATGACATCATGGCATGGAGGATCATCCGTGTCAGAGTTAACGGAAAGTACACGAGACGGTAGGTTGTGGATAGACATGACTACCAACGCCACACAGCATAGACTTTAAGAAGAAGAAGCCAGGAGACAGAAGGTTGTGGATAGACATGACTACCAACGCCACACGGCATGGACTCTAAGAAGGAGAAGACCGGAGACACAAGGTTGTGGATAGACATGACCACCAACGCCACACGGCATGGACTCTAAGAAGAAGAAGACCGGAGACAGAAGGTTGTGGATAGACATGACTACTAACGCCACACGGCATGGACTCTAAGAAGAAGAAGACCGGAGACAGAAGGTTGTGGATAGACATGACTACTAACGCCACACGGCATGGACTTTAAAAAGAAGAAGACAGGAGACATAAGGTTGAGGATAGACATGACTACCAACGCCACACGGCATGGACTTTAAGAAGAAGAAGAAAGGAGACAGAAGGTTGAGGATAGGCATGACTATCAACCTCACACGGCATGGAGTCTAAGAAAAAGAAGAAAAATAGTGGCTAGATCATTATAGAGGTGTCCATCTGCAAGCAAAGTGGTCGAAGCAGACCAAGAGAAAATACTTGCAAGTGATGGTATGACTGAGCTCTGTAGAGGAAATCCCGATATACGCACGTGAATCATGCATGAACTGGCAACTGATAATGTGAAGGCTGCAGAGATGTGGTTTTATAGACGAAATTTGCCCGGCTCGCTAGCGTAGTTGGCTAAACCTGACTTCGCGACGACCGGGTGACGAACTCCTTGTGGTCCGGGCTCACGCCCGGGGGTAGACAGATAAGCCACATTTCTCCCAGATATACGGTATTTATCATGGAATCAAGGCCGACGGGTTGCGATATCCATAATACCGAGCCTAAGGAGTTAACAACTTAGGGTTTCTGGATGTTAACAACAGACGAAATTTAATAATGCTGTAGATAGGTAGAAGTGGAATGAACATGTTTTAAAGGAAAGTGGGTACTTAATTTATAACTTACCCCTGACGTCACGACAACGTCACGGGAGACATTCCCAATAAATTCTAGGGTGTTCAGGTTGTAGTTTCTCGCGGTTTCTCTACAGCCAAGTTTAGGGTTAGGGTTAGAAGACACTAGATGAACACTCAAAAACAGCAGCACACAACAGCACTCTTGCACCCCTTGAAATAATGGACTGTCAGGTCAGCTGTGGATTTCCCACGGGAATTTCGTGTTTGGGGTACGTTATAAATTAAGAACCGGAAAGTGTTTCACTAAGGGATCTGTTTACATACATAATCATCACCATCATCATCATCACCATCATCACCATCATTATCATCATCATCAAGTGCCTTGCCGACTGGAGTGGGCGATCATGTCTGTTCGCAATCTACCATATTCAAAGCATATATATTATTTCCCTTGCCGACACCCCTTGATGCCCCATGACAGATGGTCAAGAATCTACTTGTCTGTCCCTATCTCTCTTTCCAGAGATCTGTTCAGTGGTCACAGCATGTCCCAGTTCCACTGTCCTCCTGTCACAACATCATCATACGGTGATGAGTGGGTTTCCTGCTGATGTTTGTGATAAGCTATCTTGAGGCCCACACATCTTTCAGAACGTCTGGGTTACTGGTTCTGACTGTTCAAGCCAGAAACTGCAAATTACTGCCTTAATTTACTACTTCTGTTGTGTAAAAAGGGTGCAGGAGGGGGATCTTTGAGTCTGAGGATTTAGTGCTGCATGGTAGTGCTGTCGCCACACCCTGTGTGGGCTAGGATGTTTTTTGCCACCGACCCCCCACTCACTCACCCCCCCCCCCCCCCCCCAAAAAAAAAAAAAACTCCCCTAACCTTACTAAGGATTCGAACACGGATCTCTAACAAGAGAGACTAGCGTTCTTGACTGTTTGCTCAACTGCTTCTCCGGAATTGTAAGCATTTTTAGCGAAACATCATCAGTGACAAATTATTCCATTCTCTTTGTATCGGGAAAACTGAAGTTTGTCGTGACAACAGGAAAGTTGCAGGGAAAGAGACCAGAGGAGACTAAATGAGAGTATGTTATACAGTTGGCGACAAGGCACTATGGAACATCCATACCAAAAATGCTGCACAGTACATGAGACGGAAGGCTGTGGACAAACATTGTTGCCAACACCACACGACAAGGTTTTTAAGATTTGAAGAAATACAACATAGAATGCCACTAGCAAGCCCAGCGGAGGAAATAGAAAATATGCCACAAATGTAACCGAACGTTTCGACCAAAGTCTTTATGAACGGATTAGGAAATACCATATCATGGAAACATGAATGAAACCGAACAAAAAGTATGTAAGCGAGCTTCACGGTATAACGAGCACAAACAAAACGTGAACGTTGCGGCTATAGAGTCTTCATCAGCACATACGTAAATCAAACTAAACCGCACGAAAAAAAAAATCAACTGTTGTATCCTAAATCAGCCACATTGATGTCTTGTAAGTGGAATGAAGAGACACGTGTAGCCCCAGAAAAAATAGCCTGGAAATGCCAAGGGTCGTATCTCAAGAATTTTAGATCAAACTGTGTTGACAGTTCAATCCCCTAGGTGTTTGGGTCCCCAGGATGAAAATAAAGCAGTTCTCAAGAAACTTGCGGACTCTGTCGCTGGAGTGTCTAGATTTAATAGATGTCACCTCTATTTCATGGACACCTTGATGATCATGAGAATTGAAGTGCAACGGTACTGGTTTCTTAGTAAATATGATGCAGATTATTAAATACGATGCAGACTTTGCCTGGAAAACTCTGCTGACAAAACAACGGAGCTTGTGAACAGTCAAGGTCAACATGAAACCAGGAAAAACATAATGGGGCTGGGATCAAACATCAACAGAAGAGTCAGCTCCAAAAGGAAACACGCTGGGACTGAACCAGTACTAAACTACACCAAGAGACAAAAGATCAAATGGTTCGGACATGTATCAAGACTACCACCAGATAGTCTACCACAGAAAGACCTGACACTTAGACACAACAAAGCCTTGACTGGAGGTCGGCCACGCAAGCGATGGGTAGTGGAATATCCAAGACCATGAATACCAGCAACTGCGCAACATATACAAGGTTCGCACAGAGATGCCTCTTGAAAACCTGGCGCCGAAACGCGGAACACGACTAGAGAAGAAGAAGGAGGAGGAGGAGGAAGAAGAAAAGAAATGTTTACCCATGCCTCATGTCACAGACAAAAAGATTGGTTGTACGCGAGACAGAAGGCAATGACCAGCGTCCTCTAGGGCCCTCAGCAGACAACACGGCGCCTCAATAGGACTGACCCATATCAGGACCCCACAACCCGAGGAGACGGACTACCAATAGAAGACACGGGCCCCAAGGACAGAGAACAAGACACAATAACTCAGGAAAAATAGCGCCACACAAGATAGAAGAGCAAATAAAAAATTTAGTTGCGTATCCTTTACAGGACAATGCAGAATCAGTCCCAACATTCTTTGGCCGTTGTGGTTTTACTAGGCGAATTTTACTTTCAGTAGTTTGCCATTGCTTCTGGACATTCAGCTCTTGATACCACTGTCGAAACCAACGCCAGACAAATCGACCGCAGCAAGGATCAAGCCCGGCACTCTGTCGTTACGAAGCGTGTTGGCAACGCCTAAGCCAAAGGCGCCGACATAAGGAGAATAACACAATCATAAATAACAGTCGAAGCCAAGACACAGAAATCACAGTCAGAAAAATAGACACGCAAACAAGGAACAACCTCCTCCCCTCAGACCATTCCTCAACAATCAGGATCTTAGGACCAACAGAAAGGTCTCGAACATTTCCAGAAAGGACGTCACATATACTTAGGGACAATAAGCAACGAACACTCTGTCTTGTTGATGGGGACAAAAATGGACCACATTTAAATTACATTGTGGTCTTTGTTTAATTGCGCCAAATTAACTGCATCAAAATGCGCGCCACCAAGCAGACCTGAAAAGGACTCTTGCAGTATGGATTCGATGACTCCTCCCACTTTCCTGACCGCCGACGAATCATCATTGGCCATCAAATAGGCCACCCGGTAACCGGTGCCACAACCACTGGTACGACACACCATTTGAACGGGGTAAATAAAACAAGCCCACAGTTACAACTAAAGCTGTCAGTGGAATTAGCAGTATATGGTACAGAAAACTGGATGGACATGACGATCAACACCATACAATATGGACTATGCCGTCAGTAGAATTAGTAGTACATTGCACATAAGACTGGATGGACATGACGATAAACACCTCACAATATGGACTATGCTATCAGTAGAATTAGAAGTACATTGCACATAAGACTGGATGGACAAGACAACCAACACCTTACAATATGGACTATGCCGTCAGTAGAATTAGTAGTACAATGCACATAAGACTGGATGGACAAGACAACCAACACCTTACAATATGGACTATGAGCAGAAGAAGACTGGATGGACAAGACAACCAACACCTTACAATATGGACTATGAGCAGAAGAAGACTGGATGGACATGACGATCAACATCTTACAATATGGACTATGAGCAGAAGAAGACTGGATGGACATGACGATCTACATTTTACAATATGGACTATGAGCAGAAGAAGACTGGATGGACATGACGATCAGCATCTTACAATATGGACTATGAGCAGAAGAAGACTGAATGGACTTGACGACGATCAACAACTTACAATATGGACTATGAGCAGAAGAAGACTGGATGGACATGACGATCAGCATCTTACAATATGGACTATGAGCAGAAGAAGACTGGATGGACATGACGATCAGCATCTTACAATATGGACTATGAGCAGAAGAAGACTGGATGGACATGACGATCAGCATCTTACAATATGGACTATGAGCAGAAGAAGACTGGATGGACATGACGATCAGCATCTTACAATATGGACTATGAGCAGAAGAAGACTGGATGGACATGACGATCTACATTTTACAATATGGACTATGAGCAGAAGAAGACTGGATGGACATGACGATCAGCATCTTACAATATGGACTATGAGCAGAAGAAGACTGGATGGACATGACGATCAGCATCTTACAATATGGACTATGAGCAGAAGAAGACTGGATGGACATGACGATCAGCATCTTACAATATGGACTATGAGCAGAAGAAGACTGGATGGACATGACGATCAACATCTTACAATATGGACTATGAGCAGAAAAAGACTGGATGGACATGACGATCACCACACAACATTGACTACCAGCAGAAGAAGACTGGATGGACATGACGATCACCACACAACATTGACTACCAGCAGAAGAAGACTGGATGGACATGACGATCACCACACAACATTGACTACCAGCAGAAGAAGACAGACCTACCACATAGGTATTGTTCTGCTGCAGTTTGTTCTCCCCAACGACCGCCACCAAGATATTGTCAATAATGGTGGGGAACTGGCAGATGAGGAAGACCGCGGTGACGGCGATGAGCATGATGGCCAGATTCTGCTCTTTCCGGGCCGTGACACACGTGGCTTGCTGCATGAACTTTGACCCCCTGGCCGTTTGAACCAGGCCAAAGTTCATGGCCAGGATAGCTACAAACGGTAGAAGAAACATGAACACCAGTTGGAAATAGATCAGATAGATGTGCTTGAAGGTATCTCCGGCGCCGAATTGGGTCTCTTTGTAGTTGGTGAGTTTATGCGGTCGCTGGCTCGTGGACTGTGTGTATCCCGGGTTTATACTCAAAGAACTTGAACCAGAATCTGCCTGTAACGTGTCACTGGTGTTGACCACAAGATTAAAATCCACAGACTGCGCACACCCTTTGGTAGCATTGACGTAATCGTACATCTCCGAACATTTAGTTCTGCTTAACAAACAGCTGGAGACACTTTCTGTTATATTCCATTTGGATGCATCTTCTTCTTCAGAATCCTGCAGTTCGTAGTGGAAGAATCGGGGTATGTTGTAAATCAACGACCAAAGGAAAATGAAGAGTATAACACGGGCGGTTCTGGACCGGGTGCAGGTGTTTGCTGCTTGCAGAGGCCAGCAGACGGCAATAAACCTTTCAACAGTGAATCCGACACACGTGTAGATGGAACCCATATGGGCAACAAGAGAGAGGGGGTAGCCAAAGATTATAGTCCTCGAAGAAACCGTTTGGTAGTGTGTCAGCAGGGACGAGTACGGAGCTATAGATGGGAGGCAGAAGTATGCGACCATTCCGAGTAGGATTCCATTGTCGTAGATGGCCAGGGAGATAAGGTAGTATGATGTGGAGGACCTCATCTGACGTCGATACAGCACTACCATGGATAGAGTGTTGCCTAGAAATCCCAGGATCGCTAGAATGCTGCCAAGAATTCCCCAGATGATGAACTTGAGGAACTGAACATCGATGACTCCAGAGTTCAGCATAGTGGACGAGGCCATATCGAGGCTTTCGGGTTGAGACGAGGCGCTACTCGTGTCCGTGGTCTGACAGTTTTCTTTATCATGGTGAGGAACAAAACGGTACACTCCTTCGGAACTTATATTAATGTTCTTAGTCTTGCCACTGTTGCTTTTTAGAAGATATTCGGTTAAATGACTGACATATACATTCATTGTATCTGTCGCATTTATCAGGTAAAATTAAGAATTTACGAAAAAGTAACTAAATATGAGAAGTTCAGTTCAGAGCACGGCAGTCAGTGTTCTGTTTTTTTTTTTTAAATCACGCACGACTGGTAAATTTTAAATATCCTAGGGTAATCCCGTGGTAAATCGAACTTCCGGAGGTGCTCTGTGTCTCGAGACGTATTGATTTGTCTGTTTCTGCGGAAAGGATTAATCTTTTGTGTTTTATTATGTTTTACGTAACTCTAGAAATACACCTGACGAAATACAACGAAATACAACAAGCAATACGTTGTGAAATTAAAATGTATAACGGGGATGTTCATTGAAAAGTAAAGGACCCCCTTTTCTCGCTTTTCAGGCGTATGGGGTATAGAGGGCTAGACCTATATTTTATAGACCAGCGCCGGCCGCCTTTACTTCCTAGAACTTCACCCCGTACCCACTCAAAGCTGGGTCGACCTGGGAGCCAAGGTAATTTTTGAAAAAAGTCCGGCCTCGCCAGGGAGCGAACCCACGACCTTCCGATCCGCAGGCGAGCGTCTAGCCGCTTTGCTACGACGACTCCCAAGGGTATGTTGATGCATGTCTAGAAATACACCTGACGAGATACAGCGACATATACCAAGCAATACGTTGTGAAATACATATTAAGAAGAAGTCACAGGGACCCGAGAAATAAAAAACAATTGCCTGTGATAAACAAATTGTTTTTTCACAACAGAAATTCAACACACTCGAGATCGCCTTAAGCGGTCTGCACTGAATACTGTTTAAATACCAAACAAGGCTGAATTTTGCGGTCAACCTGAAAGCATTGTGTGTATGTTTCTGTATCTTAAGTGTAGCCAGGACTGCACATTCGTCTCCTACGTTTTGCCATATATATAGTATGCCTATAATATTATTGTCATTACTGTCGCAACCAGACATCGGCTGTGATCCACTGTTGCTGACAGTTAAGATGCCTTCACAAAATATATAATAGTTTGTTTAGATACATTACATGGCGAAAAGATCCACTTCATTGCGCCAGGTTTGATCCTGTTTGGCGTGGTCTCTCCAGCAGAGCAGATGGTAGCTTGCGTGAGCATCACACAGCGCATGATGCTCTTGTAGAGTCGGAGTTTTGTTCCTCTGCAGTAATTGTTGGATTTCCAGATTTGCCTCATCCTTCCAAAAGCAGCTCTATCTTTGTTCATACGTGTCTGTATGTCCTCTTCGATCTCTTCCGGTAGGACACCACACTGCCAAGATATGTGAAATGTTCTACATTTTTAAGAGTTTGATTATTTATTGTCACTGATTGTTGGGTTTGGACTGCTTGTCATGATCTTAGTTTTCTTTGTATTTATTCTCAGTCCCACCATTTCTGCTGTGCAGTTTAGTCTGTTACTTTTCTCTTGTATATGTTCATGTTTATGTGATAGGAGTGCTATATCATCTGCAAAATCAAGGTCCTAAAGCATGGTGAATGGAGTCCATCGTATGCCTCTTAATGTCCTGTCTACTGTGTTCTTTAGTATCCAGTCAATCACAAGGTTGCAGAGGAGAGGTGACATAACACATCCCAGTCTTACACCTGTCTTTACTGGGAAAGATGTAATTTGTTATACTACAGGAAAAGTCTTTATAGCAGAGAGCAATTATGTTGACTATTTTTTTCTGGAATTCCATTATGTCGTAAAATTTTCCATAGACCATCTCTATGGACGCTGTCAAAAGCTTTCTCAAAGTCCACAAAATTAATATATATACTTCTCTGCCATTCGTTGCATTGTTCTAAAATGTTACGTATGGCGAAGATGTGCTCAGCTGTTCCTCTGCCCTTTCTGAATCCTGCTTGTTCCACTCGTAGGCATTTATCTACTCTTTCTACAAGCCGCATTATGATGATTTTACAAAATATTTTGCTTGGTACTGAGAGTAGAGTAATTCCCCTCCAATTATTGCAGTCTGTTAAGTCTCCTTTTTGGGGGATTTGGACTATTGTTCCTTCAGTCCAGTCATCAGGCTACACGTCTTTTCCCAAATACCCTTGAACATCGTAAATACAGTAGCGTTTTTGATAGGAGAAGAGACCTTCAAATTTTCGATCATAAATACAGGAGCGTTTTTGATTAAAGAAGAGACCTTCAAAAATTCGATCATAAATACAGAAGCGTTTTTGATTAGAGAATAAGCCTTCAAATATTCGATCATAAATACAGTAGAGTTTTTGATTAGAGAAGAGACCTTCGAATATTCGATCACAAATACAGTAGTGTTTTTGAATAGAGAAGAGAACTTCGAATATTCCATCATAAATACAGTAGCGTTTTTGATAAGAGAAGCGACCTTTAGATATTCGAACATAATTACAGTAGTGTTTTTTATTAGAGAATAAACCATCAAATGTTTGATACTAAATACAGTAGTGTTTTTGATAAGAAAGAAGCTGTTTACACATTTCACAAGTAAGGTAACTTTATGTTATTTGTACTTACATATGTAACTATGTTACAGTAAAGCCTGACATATAAAACTAGAAGTTGTATAACTGGGATGTTGTAACTACATGTTATCCTCTCGTATAAATATCATTATGTGTGTAACTATCTCACAGTACGACCTGACATAAATGAACTGACCACTCTATTACAACTCCGTTTGTAAATATAAATCATATATCCTCATACCTGTAACTATACCTGTAATTATATATCATATATCATACCTGGAACTATATATCATATATCCTCATACCTGTTACTATATATCATATATCCTCATGCCTGTAACTATATATCATATATCTTCATACCTGGAACTATATATCATATATCCTCATACCTGTAACTATATATCATATATCCTCATACATGTAACTATATATCATATATCCTCATACCTGTAACTATATATCATATATCATCATACCTGTAACTATATGTAATATATCCTCATACCTATAACTATATATCATATATCCTCATACCTGTAACTATATATCATATATCATCATACCTGTAACTATATATCATATATCCTCATACATGTAACTATATATTATATATCCTCATACATGTAACTATATATCATATATCCTCATCTGTGACTATATATTGTATGTCACCATCTGTAACTAGATATTGTATATCACCATGCGTAACTATATATTGTATTTCACCATCTGTAACTATATAGTGTATATCCTCGTCTGTTAACTATATCTTATATATTCTCATCTTTAACTTTATATTGTATATCACCATCTATAACTATATATTGTATATCCTCGTCTGTTAACTATATCTGATATATCCTCATCTGTAACTATATATTGTATATCACCATCTGTAACTGTATATTGTATGTCCTCGTCTGTTAACTATATCTGATATATCCTCATCTGTAACTATATATTGTATATCACCATCTGTAACTATATATTGTATATCACCATCTATAACTATATATTGTATATCCTCGTCTGTTAACTATATCTGATATATCCTCATCTGTAACTATATATTGTATATCACCATCTGTAACTGTATATTATATATCCTCGTCTGTTAACTATATCTGATATATCCTCATCTGTAATTATATATTAAATATCATCATCTTTAGCTATCTATTTTATATCCGCATATTTCTTTCTATGCATTTTACACCCTCTTAACTTTAACAAGCTTGTCTGTCGGCCCGAAGGTCTATGGTTCAAATCTGCATGTAAAGTAAAATCACGCCATTAGGGCCTATTTTATAGACCGGCCAGCACTCGGCAGGTGATGTGGTCACAATCACACCGGCCGCCTTTACTTCGCAGGACTGTACCTGGTATCTGTTTAAGACTGGGTCGACCTTGTGAGCCAAGGTCATTTTAAAAAAAAGTTCCGGCGCTGTCGGGAACTGAACCCACGACCTTTAGGTCCGCAGGCGAGCTACACCAGGGTCACAACCCCATGGGGGCAGAATTTGATCTTCAGAATTGGCCTTGGCTTCCAAGTCAACCCAGTTAAAGATGAGTACCCGGCACAGTCCTGGGAAGTAAATGCGGACATGGATACAGCTGTTAGTTGATATTACTGGTTACTTGTCTGTATCGACATCCTAGCACATTGGTCTGACTAATTCGTGCTCCGTCCTCACAATCAGCAGCCATTTCCGTGTCTTCATGCTCAACCTAACGTACACCAACAGGAAGTTTTTGAGGGTTTTGAACAACGGATCAACATCATAACACACGGGTAGTAACCGATAAATGCTCTGTTCTAACTTTTAACTCAAGTCTGAGTTTGAAGAAGCTTATGACAGTGCACAGGCTCTGTAGCACCGGCAAGGATCCTGAAATACTTTGGGTAGATTTGTAATTCCAAATTTTGTCCGGATGGCGCCGTTAGTCTACTCTTTTCGATTTCCAACTACCAAGGGATTATTTTTTTACGTGCGCAGCAATCCACACGGGCGTTCGATCTCACTACCTGGTGTAATTTAAACAAGTAGGGACAGTTTCTTCTTCTTATTTTTAAAGGGATCCAGAAACCATGAGTTGTAAACCCTTTGGCTCGGCACTGTGGATATCGCAACCCGTCGGCCTTGATTCCATCTTAGATACCGTAAATCTGGGAAATGCCTGGCTTTTCTGACTAACTCGAGCGTGAACTCGGACCACAAGGAGTCTGTCACCCGGTCGCCGCGTAGCTGGTTCAACTAACTTAGCTCAAGAAGAGGAAGAAGAAGAGGAGGAAGAGGTTGAAGATGAGGAAGAAGAAGAAGAAGAG